CGGCGCGGCGCTCGGCGGGGGGGGCTCGGCCAGGCGGCGCTTTTTTTTGCTGCTTGGGGCAGCAAAAAAGTTAGAGCCAGCCCTGGCAGCATACAACTAAGGTTATATTCTACAGTTACATCTTTTGGGGTCTACACAGATAATATCTTCAAACTTTCTGGAACACTATGTACATGAATGTTAGCAGCAAATGGGGCTGTAATGGCCAGGGCAATATTTTCTTTGTCTTACTGTTTGGTGCAATATTGCTACTACGTTCCCTAAGGACTAGTATATGCACAGGGTTTTTTTTATACTGATTTAATTAAACTGATTTAGAATCTGATATAGTAAGACTGGTACAAAATTTTGTAGACCAGATCTAACAAATATTTTTGGGAAAAAAATTGTTTTATTTTTAAAGTACAGGAACTAACTGCTGTGCTTCCTGCTGTTTTTCTGCTTATTAATTAACCTCCTTCTGTGGATGGCATCGCCCAAAGAAATAAAGTATAAATTGCTAACAAGTTGTATAATATTTTCAGAAAAGAATTAACTATTCTAAATGCCAAGAACTCCATTTCATGTAGCAGTAGCTTGTAGCTAACAACCTCCACTTTTCTCAGTAGATGTCACTAGATTCCAAGGTATTTCCAAGATGAGGCTAGAGGGCACAGAAGAATGTTGACTAGAGCTGGGCAAAAGTTTTCAGACACCTGGTTTTTTGCTGAAAAATGAAGTTTGGGGTCAAATTATACATTTCATTAATCTGTTTTCAATTTGCCAAACCCTTTTGGTAAAAAAAACAGTAACCAAAGTCTAAACATTTGTCCCTGTTTTGTTTGTTTGTTTGTTTTGTTATCCTTGTTTATTCCCAGACCCACCCCAGAGCTCTCACTCCCATGCCCCAGCCCCAGAGCCCCCTCCTGCACTCTGAACCCCTCATTTCTGGCCCCACCCCGGAGCCTGCAGCCCTAGCTGCAGCCCTCACCCTCTCCCGCACTTCAATCCCCTGCCCCAGTCTGGTGAAAGTGAGTGTGGGGAGGAGGAGGAGAGCGAGCAACAGAGGGAGAGGGATGGAGTGGGCAGGGGCCAGGACAAGGGTGTTCAGGTTTTGTGTGATTAGAAAGTTGTCAACCTTATAAACTGCAGAGCAACCTTACAACCTGAGCCCCTGCAATGCCCGGCATGCTGGCAGTGTATGAGTACTGTTTTAAAATGAAGGGTATGATACATTGCTTTAAAACAAAAAAACTCTGTATACCAAGGATCACTTTCGTCACCATGTCATTGGCATCAACTCTAGGGGAGAATGTGGCACCTATTTAACAGTCTGTGCCAGTACTATACAAGTGTTTAGGACAGGAAGTGAAGAAGGAAATATCTAGTGGAAGCTGTGCTCTCACTGGGGGGCTCTGGTGGGGGATGGCCTAGGCCCTTCAGGGGTCTGGGTGTCTCTGGCTGATTGGGATGCAGGGGGCCTCCGACAGGCAGGATCTGTCGCTGCCCTGCCAGGGTCCCTCCCCTGTGGCGGGTGACCCGGGAAGGCCGCAGGGCGGCTCCCCCGCCTTTGTTCCGCCCGGAACGTTTTGGTGAGTGCACCTAGCCCCCCCTCCGGAACCCGCGGACGGCGCCGTAGCTCCCCGGGGGCGCATTAGCCAGCGGACTCGGTGTCACGAGACGCCAGGCCGTAGCGGAAGTAGGAAGTGATGGTAGCGAAGCTCTGAGCGGGGCCTCGGGGGCTGCTCTAGCGGCCGTAAGGAGCCGGGCCCGGAGCCCGACATGGCAGCGCGTGCGCGGCTCTGCTCGCTGCTCGGTTCGGTGCTGGCCCTGGCCGCGCTCGTGGGGCTGGTAACGGGGGTCAAGGTGAGCGGGGCGGGGGCTCCCCGGCCCGGCCGAGGTCCCCGCAGACGGTCCGTGGTTGTCGGCGGATTCCCCCGCGGAGCCGGGGCCAGCCTCGCTCCCATTGCTGGCATCAAAGCGGCCCCGCCCCTCCAGAGCCCTGCCCCCTTATCCTGCCCTGCTGACCCTTCTCAATGGACTCCCCCGCCCCAGCCGATCCCGGCCCCGGGGAGTCTGGGGGCCGCGGGGGAGACGCGGACGGTGCGAGGTGGTGACGGGGGTGACACTCTCAGCCTGGTGCCAACGGGAGCCCGGGGAATAAAGGCTCGGGGTTGTTGTCTAGTTTAGGCTCTTGCTGCCTCAGAGGGCTGGAGACGGGCGCGGGGCTTAGGGCGAAGAGGTGAGCCCAGCCCTGCCCTGCAGAACTGGGCTCGGGCTTTCGAAAGCAAGGGCCGAAATACCTGGTTTGATTTTCAGGAGTTAATGGGCCCTTAGCTTTGTTGAAGATCGGCCCACTTACTTAGCAGACTAACTTTAGGCTCCTATTTTTTGAAAATCAAGGCCTTGGCTTGTCATACGAAGTAATTGGGGAGGGAGGACTGGGACCAAAATCTTAAGTTAGGATGTTATTTTGAAAGGTGACATCTTACTTCAAGTATGTAAAAATATCTGCATGGGGGTGAGTTTATGGACAGTTGGGGTTTATTGGATTGAATGTTTTAAGGCAGCCATGAATAGGCATGATTCACTCCATCGTTAATATCTTTTGATATAAGAAACCAAAGAAGAAGTGAGGTTCTTACTCACGAAAGCTTATGCTCCCAGTACTTCTGTTAGTCTCAAAGGTGCCACAGGACCCTCTGTTGCTTTTTACAGATTCAGACTAACACGGCTACCCCTCTGATACAAGAAACCAAATGAATCCCCTTTTCCCACTACCCCCCTCAAGATTTTTGATGATTGCATTTTGTGTGGATTTTCCTCAATCGCCCTTAAGGTCCGGCTCTTTATTTGTGCCCTCTTATTATTGAACTACTCAATTTCTCATTGAAGTTTTTGGCACCCATCTCCTTGACTATCCCTCAGAAGTTTGCCTTAGTTTACCTAACCTATCAGTATCCCTCAGGTCCTGATCATCTGAACTGTGTTTTTATATGGTTATGTAGGTAATGTACTCATAAACTAGGGTAAATTTGAATCTTAATTTTTATTAAACCAACATAACTTGCTCAAGGGACAGAAGGCTGAGTCAGTGTGAAGAGAAGCTTTCTCTGGTAGAGGACCATCACCTGCTAATTGATGTAAGAGAGGGATTCCAGTAATCTATGTTCTCTGCTCTGTAACTGAACATGTACATGCTTAGACAAACAGATACATGGGTCTCATTACCAGAGTAAGTGCTTATATTTGTTTTCCTGGTTGAAGGGTCTTGGCTAAGCCTGAACTAGGATGTGAGGAATTTGTTGTGCACACCATATTGGATTTAGGAGGCGACTTTAGCTTATTCAACCAAGAAACTAATCTTGTGGGCTTTCAGCTGATAGACAAGCTACTTCTTCATTTGCTGTGTGTGTACAAGGTTGGAAAAATGGTGGATGGTTTTAGCTTTTTAAATGAAGCTCTTTATAGTCTGGTTTACTGACAAGAAAAATCAGAGTTAGACATGAATAATAAACAAGAACAAAATGTAGATATTAGTCTACCAGTTGTAAAATTTAAGCTTGTGTTAATCTTGCAAGTAAATATTGTATTTAGTAAATTACTTGACTCTGACGTTCTGTATTAAGGCACTGTCAAAGTGAATCCCTCAAAAATAAGAGGACAAGTGGTTGACACATACCCATCAAATATCAGAGGGGTAGCCATGTTAGTCTGAATCTGTAAAAAGCAACAGAGGGTCCTGTGGCACCTTTAAGACTAACAGAAGTATTGGTTACTTGCATCTGAAGAAGTGAGGTTCTTACCCACGAAAGCTTATGCTCCCATACCCATCAAAGAGCCCCTTTCTTGAGAGAAGGCTTCTGTATTATGTGTATAGTCAGAATATTTATTGAGGCCCAGTTGTATAAAGGTATATATAGGGACTGTCACATGTACATCTTATTTCAATATTTGTTTGTATCTTGGTGAACCAGTTTTATGCTATATTCCAAGTGTAAGCTCTCTAGTCCTCTTTAGGGCTCCAACAACTTGTGCTGTTTCACTGATCTAGATTGTCTTGATTTTCTTTTATCTGATTTATGTTTCTTTAGGTGCTCCACTGTTGACTAGTATCTTGTAGTAGGTGAACATTTACAACATCAATTTATTTGCCCTTTTTATCTAGCTGTGAATACTCTTCATGAGCTAATTGCCAGCTAAGCACTCCCATTTTATCTAGATATCTTGTATCTCCTTTTTAGTATTAGTTAGCCCTCCAACTGTCATGTAACAAGATGTAAATACATGACATTACTTGTTGTCTTCTGCAGGTGGCTGGTGTGCAGTGTGAACAAGATTGGCTCTAACATCCTTTATGCCTTCCTAATCAATCAAGCTACATTCATGTACCATTACTCTGAGCTCATTGACCAAACCAGGATTTTATTCAGTGTACATATTTATTGTCAATTCTTTTTTAGCTAGTAGTCTCTTCTGCTATACTTTGTTGAAATTCAAGTCAGCTTTCAAGCAGGCTGCCCGTTTTTGCTTTTGCTGGCTTCCTGTCCCTTTCCCAAATAAATTCATCTGATTTGTGTTTAAGCATGCCATCATTTATAAATCCATCCTGACCATCTTTGACCCATTCAGAAATCTGTTATATGTATGGACTTGAGGAAAGGGAAGGGATTTTTCCTTCCTATGTATATTTCAAATGGGAAGTAAGTTATTGGAGGCTTTTTGCTTCCAGTCCAATAATAACCTAAAATATGAAAACCTCAGTTACAACTTCTCCATGCCATAGTAAGCTGTTCATTTTATCTTCTTTCTGTAATTTTACTCTTGTGCTTCCTTGGGTTTTATTACTATTTTCTCCCCTTTTGTTTGTTTCTCCAAGCGTCCTGTCCTCATTTTCCAGTTTCCCCTTTCTTTATTTGGGGACCAGGGTGTCTTCTGGGATTCCCCTTTTCCACCTTCCACTTTGACCTCTCTGCTATTGTCTCCTTCATCCACCTAAAACAAGGACACTGTGCGTTCTGGTGAGCCTTCTAACAATTTCCCTTACAAGCCTTTCTCTTTCAAGTAAGAATAATAGTCAATGAAGAAAGATTTGTCCACAAGGGTCTCTCTCTACCATTCTTCATTCAAGATGAATATTTCCTCCTTCATTCTTCTTAAACTGTTCTCTAGCTACACATCTGTATCTTCATTGTACAGCTACCATCACAAATTGATTAATTCAGGTACACCTATTTAAGTAATCCTTGAAATCCTATTGTAGAAAATAAAGTATATTTTACAAATTCAGATAGTCTGTTCTTCCAAAGCAAAATAGGGAAGGCAAGCTACTCTTGCAGTCCAAAGTAATGGTAAATAATGCTGTCCTCGGGAGCCACCTGCATTATAGGTGAAACTGCATTATATCGAACTTGCTTTGATCCACCGGAGTGCGCAGCCGCCCCCGCCCCCCCGCCCCGGAGCACTTGATCTGCCGGAGTGCACAGCCCCGCCCCCCCGGAGCACTGCTTTGCCGCGTTATATCCAAATTCGTGTTATATTGGAGTAGAGATGTAATACAATTGCTTTTGGAATCGGTCCATTTTGTAGAAATTGGCTTCTGTCCCCAAAACTGCTAATAGTTCATACATTTAAGAAAAATTGGTGATTAAGACAGGTTTCAATGGACATGTGTGTGTAGTGTAGTATATAATATGTATTGCATCAACTATATGTTTTTGTAGAAGACTTTTTGATGGTTGATAACAATTTGTTCTAAGCATGTGTTTTCTTTACAGAATTCTGAGGATGTCCGATGTAAATGCATATGTCCTCCTTACAAAGATCATCCTGGCAATATTTACAACAAAAATGTTTCACAGAAAGACTGGTGAGTTTATGGAGTTCAGAAATTAGAAGGTGTATTCTCATTAGGGTTATATTGCACTTCAGTGGGTCATCCTTCATTAATGATTATATAGGGGATAGTTATTTCTTTTGTTGTGGCATGGGGAGAAATTTTATCCCATATATTAGTGGTTGATGCTCTCCCTCTTCAGAGTGTTCGCATCGAACTTGTTCTTCCTTCCCTGTTGTTTTTTTTTTTTGGGGGGGGGGGGGGAAGGAAGAAGGGACATAATTTAATTTGGCTTCTTGGAATTGTTTTTAAAATGTGGAGAAAAAGTATAGTCATAGGACTGGGAGTTGGGAGATCTGATTTCTGTTCTATTCTGAGTTTGTTGAGTCACCTGGGCTCTACATGCCTGAACCTTCTCATCTGAACAGTGGAGGAAAAGTAAAAACCAAAAGTTTTTTGAGGCCTAATTCATTTCTGTAAAGTGCTTTGTAATCCGTGGATGGACTATCCTGTAGAAGTGCAAAGTATTCATTAGTGACATATTGACCTTACCTTTTATCTATTTTTAAGAGACCTAGAGACCTCTGAGCATGATGGGAAGCCACAAATTAATAACTCAATCCTGCAAATGCTTTCACGTCTGAGAAATTCCATTGAAATCAATGGAACCTATCATAGGAGTAGAGTTATTCATGTATGTGTCTGCAGGATTGGAGTTCAATTTATTAAATCACTCACTCTCATCGGACGAACAAAAAAGGTTTGGTAGAACCTACATTTTGTAGATTCAAAGCTTAAATTAATGTCATGAACATTATTTGAGTATAAAGTGCTTTGTCTAGTCAAGGCCATTATTTCATTCCAAATTATTAAATTTGTCACAGTAGAAATAATGTCATGGTGCAGTGATGAAACAGATTGAGATTATCTCAGTTGCAGCACACTTACGAAACCGTTTGCTACAAGCATTGCTGCTGCTTTTTGTACTGCCCATTATTTCACTTCTCTGTAACTAAAAATTACTTTCTCGGTGGCTTGCTTAATCTAGGATCTAGCAGAAGGCCTGCTGTTCCTATTTCATTAGGTAGACATTTTCCCTGAATTCAACTGGAGCAGAGTTGAATCAAAGGTTCCTTAGCATTGTCATTAACTGAAGGAAAAATCAGTTTTGAAGACTCGAACAGTTAATTGTATGTGGAGAAAAACTGGTATATAATGGGTCTTGGATAACCTACTCTCCAGCTTTTAAATGTCATCTTGTAATCATGCTTGACACCATTTGAGAACAGTGTATGGATTTGTGGGCTTCTTTTGAAATGTCTTGATGCTATTTCAAATTCCTGATTTACCTTTTCAGAGGAGTATGATGGCTGGAGAGTGCATTCATGTGTAATAAAGCTGGGAACTTAGTGCTGTACAGCTGGCCTCTTCTCCATCTGCATGAGTTAGTTTTATTGCTGAATAGGACAGTGATATACTGCATTCACTTGATATTTAGCTCAGTTAGTTACATCGTACTAAAGAACCAGATCAATTTTTAATGTGCCTGTATAAGTTATTCACCATATAGTGGCCGCTTACAATTGGATTATCCAGACATTAAATTAGATTTTATATCCAGTGTGGTGTCTGTAATGTGATGGTAATGAACTTACCATTAGGGAGTCTTATCAGGGCTTTTATTCACACTATTTTTCCAGGTTCAGACTTTGGACATGGTCCTGCAAAGTGCTGATGTCAGTATGAGTTGAGGATATCTTGACCTCACCAAAAGTGCTCACTGCTTTGTGGGGTCAGGCCCACAACTACTGTAGACCGTTCAGCCCTGATGACTAATGCGCTAGGCCGGCATAAGGGATGTTTTAATCTAATAATTGAATACACTGTGCTCTTGGATATCAGTAAAATGTTAACCCTTTTGAAGGAAGTATGTTTGAATGGGTTTTAGTGCCCAAGAGACTGACCAGAGTGGGATAGCCATGGGTTGGCATTTAGTGGGGAGATGGAGGTGAGACACTTAACACTCTTCTGGCCTAATGAGTAAAGCTACGATTTTTTCACGGAGGCCGTGGGAGTCACAGAATCCGTGACTTCCGGCAACCTCCATGACTTCAGCCCCAGCAGCCAGGAGCTGCATGTTCCCCCTGCTGCCCGGGGATTGGTCACATAGATCTCTAGCATTTTAATCTGGCCCAGCACTGTGCTAAATCTTAACTGAGCTGTCCTTGTAAGCAGATATTTTAAGGTTTGATAACCTGCTATTGACTTGTCCTATTGCTGTGAGTTCTGGGCACAAAGGCAGAAGTTGGTTCCAGCACCAAATAAGTGTTATGCACCAAAAGAGAGTCTGGGATGAGAACTGTGAGCAAGCAAACAGTGACTAAATGAAAGGCCTGGAATTACACAATGCATTGGCAGAGCAGTTGTCTTGGGACAGTTGATGTCCAATGCTGTAATTTATAATGACTGGATTATATGCCAAAAGTTTGGTCACCGCAAAGATCTTGCCTTATGTTTTGTTCAGTTTTTAACCAAATAATGCATGGGGTTGACGCTTCACCTTTATGTCAGTTTAAATAAAAAGGTAACTTTATTCTTTCTCTGATTCATGTGTGTAACTCACATTGGCAAAAGTGGGAGTTCTGTTCACATATCAAAGAGAGACTAAACTCCGTTTTTCTTCAGACAACATCTACTTGTTCTAAATAGTGCCAAAAATGTGTTGGGTGCTTTACAGATCAGTAAGAAGATATGGTCTCTGCTCAAAATGGGCTTAAATCTGAATAGATGATATAGATGGGTAAGGAAATAAAAAAACTATTTGAACATGAGGAAGGGAGAAATGGACAGTAGCTGTAGTCACTCCTACCTTGCCATGATGTCTGTCAAAGTACACCTTGTCTGTCCTTTAAGTTCTGAGATTGCTTTTGTCATTTAAAAAGAAGAAAAAGTAAATTCAACCCTTATAATTTCCTTCCTTGATTCTATTGAGTGTTGAATACCCTGCTCTTGAACTTGTGTATTGTTTAAGGCCAAAAATCAGTGAAGCAAATGTCCTGTGCTCCATTCTTGTTTTTGAGATGTGGAGAAAACTAATGGAAACGCTAACCTATGGGGGAAGTGAGGTCTGTTGCACTACTAACGGTGGCATCTTAATGTCTGTTTCTCAATGTTTGAATAGACCAGTGCCCAACCTTGTTACACAGGAGGGCCACATAAATCTAAGCACAACCTTGTGTGGGTCAAATAGATTCTACATATTTTAATAAGATTGAAAGTCACCTGTATTGAATTATATTTTAAGTTCATATGTATTTAGATAGGTTGTTTCTATGTACAGTCGTGTCTATTTACACACTTGTGTAAACTAAAATAATGTAAACGTGACAACAAAACGCTAATGAATCGAACATTAGTATATTGTGTTGAAGCAGGCTCTGGGCCTTATGAAATGCTCTAGTGGGCAGTAGATTGGGCACCCCTGGAATAGACCATCTATATTAGTTTTAATAAGAACTTTCTAGCTGGCTAACTAAGCTTGAGCAGCTAAGTCGCTATGTAATTTGTCTCATTTAAGTAAATTCAATTTTGAAAAGTTAAAATCTGAAAAAGTTAAAGCTTGAACTTTTCTAGGTAGTAATTTCTAACTCTTAATCAAAGATCAGTTTCTCTTGCCCCTTGCTGTGGAATTGGCATGCTTTCAGAGCAGAGGGAACTGCCTAAGTAGTGGAGTAAAATCAACCAAACTGACTAAGCTATTTTTCTTTTTCCAGTGATTGTCTTCATGTGGTTGAGCCTATGCCCGTCCCTGGACCTGATGTGGAGGCATACTGCTTACGTTGTGAATGCAAATACGAAGAGAGAAGCTCTGTCACAATTAAAGTAAACATGCCATTCCACTGCTGTATATTAAACATTTCAGCCAGCTAATAAATGCACTACCTTTTATAAGTGTATCCTTAAAAACAAAGCATTCTTAGTGCTCTAGAGGCATTATAATAATTAAATTACATAATCTCACTTAAACTCAGAATAGCAGTAGCACTAATAGTTAAGGCTGAATCATCTCAAAATTTTCCATCCCTGACATTTGCTAAGGGGGATTCTTGTTTTTCTAAGAATTCTGGGTATTTTTATCAGTTTACGGGTTTAGTATCTTTCTCACCCTTTCCCCCACCTCCCCACAGTCCCTTGTTACGAAGATGCATATTTTGCTAGCTTGACAGACACAGTTGGCTAACTATTCTCAGCTCAAAGTGATGCTGTGCCCACAAAAACCAAATCAGCCATGTTAGCTTTAATGGGTGAATTTAATAAAAATGAGCTCAAGTTTGGGCAGGCAACCAACCTTTGGGACATCCTCCAACCAGGTCTCTTATCTGCCTTCTTCGTCCCTTTGTTGCTCTACCTCTCCTGTACCTGTTTTTGGCCATCTTGGGTGATCTGGTTATGGAGAAAGTTTTAAAGTGAATTTTGAAGCATAGATTTTGAATGTTGTTATGCATTGAAACGGAGCCCCCACCCCCATTGACATTATCCAGTTAATATTCACTGTGGGTTTCTTGTCCAAACCTAAGATAACTGAATGGAGACAAACAAGCTTGACTGCAAAGGGAACCCCTGAATCACCAGCCCACAACTGAAACGGAATGTTAGTCTTATTTTGAGATGGGATTTTTCTTCCCAATCTTTTGCAGAGAAGGAGCTTGAGATCTCAAGAAAGACTAAGAGGAAATTAAGAGGAAATTTTGTTTTAATCTGTGAACTTCCTTTTTCTTTGTCATTCACTCCAAACACATTAATATTATTTGGATCTGTGTGTCTGTGGTTTAATTTCTTGAGGTTGTTTGTTTAATTTAGAGACATTGTCAAGGTTAATAGGCATAAAGCAGACCTACTGACTAATTTACAGGCATTTTGTGTGTCTTCTTGTTCCTTTGCTTTGGCTGTCTGCAGAGTATTATGTGGAGTAAGTTCTCAGCAATAGTGAAAATTGTGCTTCTGTTTTACTGCATGCAGGTTACAATCATAATCTATTTATCCATCTTGGGCCTCCTGCTGCTGTACATGGTGTACCTTACATTGGTAGAACCTATACTGAAGAGACGTCTCTTTGGACATTCACAGCTAATTCAAAGTGATGAAGACATTGGGGTAAGTTCACTTGAATGAATGCAATTGAACGCTTCCTTATGAAGGTTTTTCAATGGCAAAATAGCCCTCTTTTTTTGAGGGACTGGTGGTAATCTTCACTGTTGCAGAAAGTTGTGTGGTCTCTCCAAGACCATTTCTTCACTTCCAATATGTCCACCCCATAAACAGGTGGATAGCGAGTTCAGGAGCTAGGGATTACCCTTTTCTCCCCCAAACCTAGATTATGGAGTAGTCCCCCTTTCTCAGAGCAGTCAAGGGAGGGAAAGAATAGGAAGTAAAATTTTCCTTACAGGGTTAAATGCTGCATTCCACCTGATAAGGGTTGCTATATTTTAGGTGGATTAGCGCAATGGTAAGGGGAAAATCTAAATAATAGATATATGAAGGGGTGTAGTCCTCCTTTGCTACTTCAACTTACGTTGGTTGACACTATTTAAAAAAAAAAAAAAAAGTTCCAGCAGTGAAATATTGTCATGAGGGGATATTTTATTTCAGTTAAGTCTTATTCTTATAATTTAGTTTCCTGCACGTGATGAGAATAGGTTCCCTAAGATCCCGTACAAACTGTTTCAAGAGGTCTACTTGCACTATGGAAATGGACCATTGGTAAGCAGTATGATGGCCCATGTTTGGCCCAGTTTGTTTATTGTTAGTGTAGACAAGACAAAATTGTCTTCAGCACCATAATGGGAAGGGTATTTAAGACCTGAAACATGGTGCTGAAAATAATGGGGGATTTTGTCCTTGCTACATTAGCAAATAAACAGTTGGTACCAGTTGAGTGGGGTTAGGGAGGACTATGTTACAGACAGCCATTGCTGGCCTGGGTCATTTTTTATGTTGTAGAGAGACTTACAGAATATCTATTAAAATAGAGAGATGACAATGCATTACAACTAATCAGCTTTACAAAGCTGATGGTCTGTTGTTTGCTATGTAGAGATGTCTGAACAAAGTAATGTAGATATGCTAGTCTAGGGTGATGTTGCTGTGAAGCCATTATAGTCACCTGTTACCTTGACTGACTTATTACATTGATAGTGAAGCACTTCACAAAAGTATGAGCCAAACTCTCTCAGGGGAAGTTTGCTGAAGCAATTTGAAAAATCAAGAACTTATGTTTGCAGTCTAAGAAGTATTAAGTATGTAAGGTTCCTAATCCATGCTTACAAGTAACTGCTAAATATACAAAACAATTTATCAAGTCTAGAAAATACACTGGTGTATTTACCATATTGTATAACCAAGCAACATTAGCAGTAGAGTTAAAGCTCATTTTGAGCATAGTGTAACTTTAGTAGACCTTAAAGGAGGAGGAAAAACATAAACAGGTGGATTTCAGTTTGCTTTATCTAAGTTTGCCAGCAGCTGTGACCACTTAATGTCCAGTTTAGTAGGGTGGTGGTGTGGTTTTTTTTTATATAAACTAGGGAACAGAATAAAGAGATTAAAAGTGCTTGTTATGCCTTAAGAATATTGTCATTATTGCTTCAAAGTAAATAGTAAGTTAACAATGCAGCAACACTAAAAGGTGTCACACAATTTTGGAACTCATAGCAATTTTGTTTACAGTGAAACAAAATGATGATATCTTTATTTACAAAGTCTATTTAAAAGCCCAATAGTATTGTGTGGCTGTCACTTTAATAGCTTTAAATCCAGACTTGGATAGTAGTCAAACCCTAATGGATCAGACTTGGTTTCCATTCATGCTCTGTATTTTTATTTGCTTAGTGTATTAAAAAGTTGCTTCCATCATATTTAGTATGGTGACTTGAACACTTTTTAATATGGAAAGAATTATTGTCATCCTGTGTAAACCGAGAAGTAGATCACTTAGAATTCTGTCATCTTAGCCTATTACCAGTGGCCATCAGCCACCTTGATGAAAAGTAATCTTATTCTTAAAAGATGTAAACAATTATAAATATTTCCCTTCTGGAAATATAACTACAATATCCAACATTAAACACTTACATTCACCTGATACTTAATCATGAAAATAATCAAATACTTCACAAGTCATATTAAAATCTTTAAACTGTTTTCTCTAAATCATAAGAGGATCAGCACCAGCCCTCTTACAGATTCCAAGACCAGAAGGGACCATTGTGATCATCTAGTTTGACATTCTGTGCACAAGAATGTCTTGCTGGGAGTTTGGGATGGTCATTATTTATGTGATGTAGCAGTGTAAATTTTAACTCAAGGCAGTAAAAACACGCTTCAGACCAACACATTTATACATCATCTGTCCCTGTATTTTCCCTTTCTTTTTGAAGCAACATTTAATATGAAAAAATCCTTTGTATGAGCCTTGTGGCATACCTAATTGTAGTATAAAACTGTCTGGTAATTTATGTCGTGATTTATGAAAGTATGAAACTTTCACAACTGTGTATGTGGGGCTTGAAATATGCCTGACTACCTAGGTTAACTACTAAAGCTGTTTAGTATTTGTTTACTGCAGTTTGACTGTTATAATGTAATGCAGAGCTAGAATCTAAGGCCCTTATTCTGCATGGCCTTTTATTTGGTCAGATTCCATTTAAGTCAGCAGAGTTTTGGATGGACCAAGGAGTCTATCTATGCAGATGTCATGGCAAGTCTGGGGTAGAAAAGAATATTTTCTTTAAGGGAGGGATTTTCAGAAGTGCTCAGCATAAATCTACCTCTGCTCCCATTAAAGTCAGTGGTAAGAGTTAAGGCACCAGTGGGTGCCTTTGCAACTAGCATTCTGAAGCAGAATCATATTTCAGGAGTTTTAAAAATGCAAAATTGGCCACAGGCAATAAGACATTTTCTGCACCATAATTACTGTAGACAACACCTCTCTCACTAAGACCTGTAACCTGGGTGTCATCTTCAACTAGGTCCCAATCTAGATTTATGTCAGAATCTTGCTGCTTCTTCCTGATTAACATCTCTAAAATCTGGCTTAGTTCTCCATCCACATAGCTAAAACCCTTGTCCAAGCTTTCATCTGCTGTCTTGACTTCTGCAATGTCATCTTCTTTGGCCTTGACAAATGGTCCTGCTTACGTCCATTCAGAAAGCTGCAAAGATAATTTTCCTCGTTCCTGGCTTTGACCACGTTGCCCCTCTCTTTTCATCCCTCCACTGACTCCCCCTCTCTGTCACATCAAACATAAACTACTTGGCTTACCTTTCAAGGCCCTTTGCAGCCTATCCTCCACTATACCTATCATCTCATCTCTATCGAGTGTCAGCTCCTGCCTTCAGTCAGCCAGTCTTCATCTCCATCTTGCTAAACTTTCAAACAAGCACCTTTGTGCTTTCTCCCGTGCTGCCCCTCATGGATGGGAGGTGCTCCTGGGGAACATCTACAAAGCCATTTCCACTGTCGTCCTTTGAATTCCTCCATAAAACTCTCCTTTGCTATGTTTACAAAAAAGTTAAGTTAGCCAGCTGCTGTGCTGAGACCCTCTATCATATCTAACCAGTATTTTCTAATTTTCCTTGTGCGCCCCCATTGGCCCATCTGTATCCGCCTATTGTCTCTTGTCTAATACTTAAACTCTTTGGGGAAGGGAATGTCTTTTTGTTCTGTGTTTTGTACAGTGCCTAGCACAATGGCATCTTGGTCTATGAGGTGCTACCTCAATATAAATAATAATCCATTTAAGGGTGAGGTGTATTGCTGATCACTGAGTTGCTGTACTCAATATCATGTCACAAATAAAATAACCACTTCTGAAAACTTTTTTGCAATAAAACAAGGCAAGGTATAGAAATACACAAGCTTCAAAATTGAGTCTCCTTTGCTGTGTTAGCACAGTGCATAGTTTATAATGGTGTTTTTCCATCTGAAACGCATCATATACATGACCTTTTCCAATGTAGTTTTTAAAACAGAATTTTCTTTGTCCAAAACATTTTGGGAGCCAAATAAAAGGTTCTGTTCCAAATGTCTTTGTTTATGACTTGGGATTTTTTTCCAGTAAATAAATCCAGCTTTGCAGATACTGTTAGAAAAGGGACAGCGTAAATGCTAAACAAACACTCAGTTGTTCAGCTCTTTGTCACTTAGACAGCTGTATTTACATGAAGCAGTGGGTTTGGTTTAGTGACAGTAAACATCAGTGTTTTGGTATTATAGGGCATCTTTGTGCGACTATTCAAAATTACTTTACAGTAACAGGTTAAAATCTGGTAGTGTGCTGGCTAAGCAAAGACGCGGGTTCCTCAGTTCAATTTTAAATTGAAGTACCAGCATGAAAACAAATGGGAGTGTCCAAGTGCCTTGGTCAACAGTTTCGGGCTTCATGTTCAAACAGGTGCTAATGTATGTAAAGCTGTGTGCATGTTACTTTTGAGTATGTGGTGGTGGTGCTCTTGCCAACAAAGTCAGCATGGGCCTGCTCCCATTGAATTCAGTGGCTAAATTCCCATTGACGTCACTGATGTAGGATCAGATTCCATATGACCATTACTTATTACTTTGAGACACCGACCGTATGAAAGGTACTTCAGGACATAACACTAAATTGTTTTATATAGGAAATCCACAGAAATTATTTTCTATAAAACGTTGAAATATACAGTCTATATCCAGTTAAAGCTTGTTTTGCACACAAAGCTGCCTGGCAAGCTTGCATAACTTATTTTATCCAGAAGAATATTGTAATTAACAGTAGTTACGCAGTGAAATTGCTGAAATATAAATACTACTTTCTGCAATTGCAGGATCACCAACCTTTTGCAAATGCTCACGATGTGCTGGCTCGTTCCCGGAGTCGTGCCAATGTGTTGAACAAAGTGGAGTATGCCCAGCAACGTTGGAAGCTACAGGTCCAAGAGCAGCGCAAATCTGTCTTTGACCGTCATGTTGTGCTCAGTTAATTGATGTCTAATTCAATGATGACCAGAAGAAAGTAAAAGGGACTAAAGGAAAGAGCTGACTTATGTCTTCCTGATTCTACCATTTTTGAATGGTTTGTTACTGGCAGCAAAAAAGTGTTAACTTTGTAAGAATGTTCTGGAGTGGAAACTATCAAAAATAAACAACAAAGTTAATTAGCCAAAAGCTGATAATTCTTTACATTTTTTTAAATGGCATTTACTAATAGAACTAAAAAAAAACAACTTACTCTAAGGTATCTTTGGATGTAACTGTGGTACCTTATTTATTATGACTAAGATGTTTTTAAATGTAACTTATATGGTTTAAAAAGCACCAGAGAGCATACTCTGTAACAAAAGATCAGTTACAACACACTAATCACTTTACTCAGTGAACTTTTGTAAATATACTCAGTTTTTCTCCTCACTGTTTAATGCTGTGTACTGGAAATCTAAATCTTGCAGTGTAGTTTCTGACATTGACATTGGCCAGTTGTGTTCATCATTATGTTTCTTGCACTGTTACTTTGAAGATGTTTGTATAGCAGCTGACCGTTGCAAACTTAAGGCAAAACTTAAATGGACAATGACTGTTGATGATAAGCTGCACACTTAAGGTACTGTGATGTAGATAAACTAATGCAGTGCATATTAAGACAGCGCTTTACTGTTTTGCTTTGATCACTTAGTATATTGTATGTGCTACCTACAGATCTCTTCCCTGTCTCTTCATGGATAAAGTCTCAGGAGTTAGTGTATGATAAAGTATATATTTAAAAAATAAACTCTGTATTTGTCTGGGTTGATGGTATAAGGCGTATACTCTCCAGCATCTTCTGTTATCTTGGGAGTTAGGTGTATTTTTTAACTGTGATGCTGTACTCATCCCTCTGAGGTATACAGCTACTGGATAACTAACTTTCATATATCCTCTTTGGAATGGAACAATTAAAGATGATCATGATTTTTGAAAAACCTATTTGCAGTATCTGTATTTCATCATTTCTCTCCCTCATCACACTGCATGTAAATTTCATATTTAAAATAATTTTGCCAAATGTGCCTAAGATTATAAATGATGTGCATTGTTTGTAAATGTTCAATGCTTGGGTGACGGAAAGAATGGCTCAGAAAACTGCTAATATACAGAGTGCTTCTAACCTCTGATTCAAATCCAGGTCCAGGCAGTAGTGGCTGCAAGTTATCACCCATCTGAGGGTTCTGTGCTGTGTAAAATGAGCTAGCATCAGTCCAATTTCTAGTGAAAGTTCACATAAAATCACCAGTTATTACTGCCTGGCACTCTTCTTGGCATTTTAAACAGCAAGGTGGAGGACTAAGTGGGCACAGAAACTTAAATTGGCTGTTGCAGCTAGAGCTAGTCCATCCATATTAGCATTTAAGACACTAGCAGGGCCACATAAGGACACTTCCACTGCCCTTACCCTTCACAGATAAATAGAGCACTGCACTCTTCTGTTATTTCAGTACCTTTCACGAGGACTAACTTCACAAAAGCAGAAACTCTTCAATACTAGCAGAATCATAATGAGTATTAACCCCCCCCCCCCAAATCCCAGCAACATGTAGCCACTAACCAATGAAAGGTTAACACCAGTGGGCTGACAGTACAAGTAATCAAAGTTCAGGAACTACTGTTCCTCTTCCCCTCACCCCCAACCCCAAAACACACAGTACCCAAACTGGTGACAATGATGCACTTGACATCCATTGAGGAGAAACAGTTGCAGTTCCTTGTTGCAAGGGTGCCTATTGCCTACCACTTCAGATAGCAGCAGCGGCAGAAGCATTGCTCCTTGCTTGCTTGCCTGCCTGCCTGCCTGCCTTCCCTCACAAGACATCAGCAGGTGAAGTGAATTTTTAGGGAGATAAACAGAGGTCCCTACTGCGAAGGTGTGAGGATATTTTGAATCCCAAAGACTAATCTTTGTTCAGATGCAAAGACCGCTTCAAGCAGAATCGATTCTCTTAAGGCTTGAATGGGCCTTACCAGGAAAGAAGAGTGTGTATGCGCTTGTCTTTGAGTAGTGGATTAGCTGTCACTAATTTTACTGTGTATTTCAAGTGTTCAAGATAAGACTCTGCAGTATTATGATCTATAGCAGGTCTGATTAGTAAATGAGTCCCAAATTTAAAAAAAGGCTAGCTTCCTAATACTAGACTAGAATTGAGGCTTTCAAAATGAGTTAATTTACACATACTGAATTCTAGTTAGAACTTGTCTATAATACTTGGTATAAGTTATATAAACTCATTTAGCACAATTAATAGGTAATAGTTGCCCACTTAGAGTTGCACTTGCTGTTAAAGATGCTGAAATTCTGTGTTAGGGTTCCCTGGTTCTCGCCTCAGCTCCACCCTGACCCTAGGATTCCCTGGTTCTCGCCTCAGCTCCACCCTGACCCTAGTCTAGGAACTGTTCACAAATTAGGGATAGCCAGTGAGCGTGCAACACACACACCATCTGTATGGCTACTGGGAATCATCCTGAGAGGATATCCAGACAGTTTCTATTCCTCAAGTAATGGAAAGGAGTGGAGAAGGGTTGAGAATCTGGCCCAATGTTGAGATTTTGGGATTAGCACACCAAAGTGGCAATTTAAAGATTACTCAAAGCAAAATCTATCTTGTGACACTACCATAAAATCAATCTAGTTGCAGATACCAACATCATATAGCCTCTTGTTCAAATATATTGAGATTTCTGTATTTAACAATGAAAATCTAACTGAAGTGCTAACTAGTTTTTATTCTGTTAAATATTTGGGTGTAAAATTCAATTAAATGAAAAGTGCATTCATTATAGCAAATTGCTATAGCATATGGATCCAAGGGCTATAAATAAAATATGTTGCTGATTACTTTCTAAGATAGCTCAATTGTATCTAATACATTTAAACGTTCTATCCCATAATTCTAATATTTGTTGCCATTATAGCTACAGTGTGGGTGGAAAAAGCTAAACCAGAAAAGAGCAGATCTAAGTGTAAGCTACTTTGCATATTGTCAATTGACTATAAATTACACCAGTCTTTGACTCAACAAAACAGCATTGGAACTACATAGTTCAGGTAAGAGATTGTCAGAGAAAGCAATATGTATTTTAAAATATATAGCATTATGGCTTGAATAAATATCAATCAAAACTGATGTAAATAACTTCAGTCAGCTATTTAATGAGTACTTCAAATAGTCTATTTGTAATGTGTATTTAGAATTACCCATTGTTTGATAAAATAAGTTACACTGGCAGGTAAAAATCGAAAATATTAACTTTAAAACTTTTCATTTTCAATGCAAAATTCTGATATTTTACAGACATTTTGAGCAGCCTGAAAATTCTGTTTCCTTGGATTACTTGAGAATTTTCTCCATCTCAAAACAGGTGAGTCTCTATAGCAATGAAACAATTTTCATGCTCTTTGATTTTGTATTTGTCTTGGACGTTAGGATGGCAGATAGTGTTTTGTGTAATCCTGTTGTGCAGCAAAAGTGTTAGTGCTATCCAGCCAATGCTATGAATTTCTGATTTTTTTTTTATTTTTTTGCTATACAGTGCACATGTAGATTTTATCTTAGGGTAATATTTAACATTCACATGTCAGTAGAATATAATCAAAGAAAATAATTCATTTTCTTCTAATATTAACAAAAGGAACAATCACCATTTGCTGGTTTGAATTTATCTATAATAGCTATATGTTCACCTCAGATTTTCCCTCATGTATAGCAAGTTAATTTGTCTTCTGTCACTGAACATGAATTTGTGTGTTCAATGCATGTTTCTGCTAGAAGCTAGCCTATGAAAGCATCTGTTCTAGAACATATTTGATTTTCTCTTTTGGAGAGCTTTTGGTGAATATGGATTCTCAAGTCAGTGAAAGTTTTAGTAAAATCAAAACTGAATTAATACAGTAGCTTTGATTGGATACACAAATATTTTGATTGAACATGACTTTACACAAGGGAATAATGTGCACTTGGGATCTGAAGATAGGCCCAAACTTTGGTCACACAATTCCCTCCCTTTTGAGTATGGAGGGTATGAAAGTATTAGAAAATCTGCTAAAATAGCCCCAATTCATTGTGAAGGAGTTGACTCAATGGTGGCATTCCCTCTGTCAGGTAGCAGACATCCCTCTGTGTAAACACTGAACACCTAGTGCTTGGCAATTTTTTTTAATGAGTAATGGAAGTAGGGCATTTCCAGTAATGCTTTTTAGTTCTCCTGCCTCTTTTCCCTTAGAGGGCATGATGGAACCTGACTACTTTAGATGGTGAAACCTTGATGACGTGGGGGTGGAAGGTAGCAAAAGGAAATCAGGCTGGTCGCTATACAGGCAAGGATTGCATACAGTCACTGAAAACAAATAGTGGTCTTATGAATTTGCAGCTAATTTTTTTTAAATGGTAGCTTTGTTAGAAAAACTACTGGAGGACTGAGGTTAAACTACTCTTATAGTGCCTTGACAATCCGTAGAAGTACAATATAACTTCGTATTAGAGAGACGATTTTACTGTCTCTCTCAAACTTCCAAGTGTGATTTGAATAGTTAAATACAAATCCTGAACAATTAATTCTGTCATATCTGCTGTCAGGCAGATGTAGAGAGAGTATGTGGTCCTCTAATGGGCCATCGTGAATTGAAGGGAGTGTGGCTCTAAGCAATACTTCAAAGGGAAGTTCATTCACTTATGGTAGAAACCCCTGTCCCTAATAAAACTAACAAACAAACATTTTTACAACTGGAATGTAATCTGAATAACTTTCTTTAGCATTGTTTAATACTGGCTATTAAGATGATCCTCAAATAATCCCGTATCAATTGGGGGGGGGCGGGAGAGATGATGCCGACTCTGCAAAACAGTCCTGGGTACAGGAATCCATAAGGAATCCCCTTCAGAGGAGACATGTGGAACCAGTGTGTCACTTTACAGACAAAAATAAGATTGAGGTCCCTGCACAAAGGAGTTTTCAATCTAATTGCAACATAATACTGTGAGTGAAAACATCAAACATGTAGGTGAAAAGACAAAATAAGGGGAGATTTTAAAACTCTTGATGAATGTTTTGTTTGATTCAGTGAAGGTTACAGGCACTTGAGTGGTAATGTTTTTTGCGGGGAATAATGGGATGGAGAGGCTGTTTACTTTGCCAATGCGTGATGGGTGTATGGCAGTGCTTGTCTCTCTCTGAGTGGCAGAATGCTAACTGAAAGTGATGAGGGTTGAAGAGGGAATTGAAGGAGATTGAGGTCACTAGAGGCACAGGAGGAAGGAACAAGAATTCAGCCAGTTTTATTTTATATAATGCCAGCTATAAGTATTTTTTGTCAATTTCAGACTGAGCTGGACATATGTTTGGAAATGAAGAGGATCTGGTATTACAAATGCCAAGTAAATTAGCTTAATTGTGGTTTCCTTTAGGAGGCTGAAGGGATTACTTTATCTTTAGCCAGTGCTTAGTAAATTTCTATAGCATATGCTGGTGATTATGCACTTTCGTGTGTATGTGAAGGATGCTATTCAAATAGGACATCATTACACACCATGTGGCAACCTCCCACACCATTCGATAATATCATAAATGCATTAAAATCCCTCCTTCTGGAAAATTATTATTTATAATTTGTATTATTGTAGCACCTAGTCATGGACCAGGACCCCATTGTGTTAGGCGCTGTACAAATACAGAACAAAAAGACAGTTCCTGCCCCAAATAGTTTACTGTCTATGCCAGTAATAGAACCTAACCCATTTAAGTAGTTGTAGTGTATGAATCATTGAAATTAATATGCAAATATACATTTCCAGGTTAAACACAAAACTCAATGGATAGTAAAAGCTACTGTAACTTCATGGACAAGTTGTCCATCTACGACTCACAACATGTACAACTGACTAGGCCTTTCGGTGGGGACCCTTTTGTCACGTTTCATGTGTACCCTGAGACACCTACCCAGTTCACTTGCTCTGAGGATTTGCCACTACTTCCTTTTACATCTGAGGAGTTGATCACAGAGAACTTCTATACTGATCCTTGCAACTTTCCTTACCAAGCGGCCCAGGCTAATTATGGCAGAGGTGACTATTCTTATGGACCAGCTTTCATCAGAAAGAGGAATGAAAGGGAAAGGCAGAGGGTTAAGTGTGTCAACGAAGGATACGCCAAACTCCGACGTCACCTGCCTGAGGAATACTTAGAGAAACGGCTCAGCAAAGTAGAAACACTTCGAGCTGCAATAAAATACATTCGCCATCTACAATCTGTTCTGTACAGTGATTCTGCAGTGCCAGAGAAGAATAACCGGGAACTGGGCCATACTTCCAAGGCAATTGCCAGAGAGATCCAGTTTTGAGGACTATCTGAACTGCTCCAGGGAAGAAAAATAATCACAGCTGAGGCTAACAATCACATTATTGGTGACACAAATATTTCTGTGAAACTGACACATTTTATGAACTGTACAAGGCACACATCTCTACCAGTCTACTGGGGAAAGAGTTTAAATTAACCTACAGGGGATTACACTGAGATGAGAAATACTAATCTACAGGAAAATTAAATGTAAACTCTTTTAGTTAATTCATGGAAATTAGAAAAAAATCCTTTAACTTTGTTAGTTGGAAAACGAAAGTATGACTATATATCATTTTTCAGAAAGGAGCAAATGTATACACCATCTCAGTCTGCACATTTTAAATAAAGTGTAACCTTCTCGCAGATGGGGCTCAGCTTCTGTTAATTTTCAGGGATGTTTCATTTTCTGTTCATTTTCACACCTCCCCAAAGAATCTCTGCCCTAATTGCTGCTCTCTTCCTCAAAATACACAGGACAATTTTTCCCCCCAAGTTGCTTGTGTATTGGCCTAGTGGATATAGCCCACGACTGGGACTCCAGTTCTGCCACAGGCCCGCTGGGTGAACCTCAGCAAGTCAGTGCCCCCCTCTGTGCCTCAGTTTCCTCAATTGTAAAATGAGAATACTGACCTTTTAAAACACTCAGATCTACTCATGTAAAGTATTATAAAAGTGAAGTATTATTATTTTATTATTAAAAAGGGGTAAAAACACTTTCCAAAATATAGTTACCTGAATGTGGAAAAATGCAGCATTTTTGGAAATGCAGCTCTATCCTTTTGTTAACCAATTATTTTTTGTACTTGAACCCTAGAACTCTTATTTTGGTTGTAAACCCCTTTTTTCCTGGCCAAATTCCAGTCTGTGAGCCAGATTCCATCACCCATACTGTCAGTGAGCTTAGTTCATGAGTTATCTTGTTGAAAATCACTGAATATGGATTTACTTACTAATATAGTAAGATACTACTCCGAGGAGGGGTGGCAGAATCTGGCCCTGGGGAATGACATCCTGCAAGCCTATATGCCTCTGCACTTTCACTGGGATAATGTTTTCTTTACTTCTTGTCCTAAATTGTTGCTCTGCACTCTTAAATAACTGACAGTTTCACCCTACAGCTAGCTGCATTTCAGCAAAGTTTTCTAGTTAGGGCCTACTCACATGAGAGTGATGGGGAAGATTTGCAAAGAGCTTTGACATCCCTTAGGTTGAAAGGTGCTATATTATTTATAGTCCTATTTTATTAATATTCAATAAAAAGGCTCTCCACATACCATAAGGAGAGCAACTGCAACGTGGGTGCAGCAAAGTACTGAGGAAAAAGGCATTAGCATCTGATAATCTAAACCAGATGTGGCTTTTCCTTTAGGCCCAGCAGTCATGTGTACGCTACTGGGTTTATGGAAGCAAAAAGCTATTTTTACCATGACACAGAAAAGGAACATTAGTCTACTAATCACTATTTGCAGTACTATCCCTTTAAGCGTGGGGCAGGTCTCTAGTGCACACATGCACATGTATCTCTCTCCATTCTAGCTGAAGTCTTGAAATCTACACCATTGTTTTTGAAGGCTTAAAAGTTTTGTTGCTGCTACAGCCCATATTGGATCTGGTAATGACCAAGTTGTCTTTGCTCTTTTCTGAGTGAAAACAACGCTTTAAGGCCAAGAGTTTCAAAAATAGGATCTTCAAGTTCAGCTCCTAAATCCACATTCAGGTTCCTGAGTAAGAGGCCTGATTTTCAAAACATTGGAGCACCAGCATGCCCCAGTGACTTCATGCCTGAGTTCCTCAGGAGGAGGAAGTCAGCATGACTATTTTCCAAGCTTTTGGACAATAGGATTGTAAGGTCAGAGGTAATTCTGCTAGTCATCCAGTTGTTTTAAATTAATTTCCTTAGGACAATCATTTGGTTAAAAGACTATGAAATGCAACTCTGATGAAACATGGGAAATAGAATTTTTTTACATTCATAATTCATGCTGCAAACCCAGAGGTGCCGGGGCTCAGCCCTGGCCCAAATTAAGTACTGGATTTCATACGTGTAGTGGATGAACATAAAAAACTCCAGCAGAGGAGCAATGAAATGCCCTTGCAACAATTCATTAAAGCTATGGAAGAGGAGACCGATCTAGAGGTCAGAGCAGGGATCAACAATCAGGAAGATTCCTAGATATTATTCCAGGTTAAGAAATCTCTCTTTACTCACCTGAAAATGGGAGAGGCAATATCGTCCAGTATTGTTCCCTTGACTGGAACTCAGGAAATCAGGGTTATGTTCCAGGCTCTGCCATTGACCTTCTGAGTGACCTTCGGACTGAAAGCTCTGTGGGGCAGTGAATATCTCTGATACGTTTTTGTACACTGTCTAGCACAATGAGGCTGGGGTCTCTAGGTGCTACTGCAATACAAATAAAAATAAATCACTTCACCTATCTGTGTCTCCTCTGACCCCTTATCTGTCTAGTCTAGGCTGTGAGCTCTTAGGGGTAGGAACTCCCTCCCACTGTTTATATAGTGCCTAGCACAATGGGGCCCTGATCTTCTTTGGGGCTTTGAGATGCTACTGTAATACACAGCATATTGTATTATTATCTACTGAGCAGATGGATGTGAGATTTAATGACTTCATGTTTGTAAAGTGATGTGACACCAGCTCAACCACTTCCCTTTTGCCCTAACTGCATAGCAGCACTTTTACCTCACCTCATATGGGGGCTTTTTATTTTAATCCCGCAGGTTCATGTGATCCTGTCTTGGTCAATAAAATTGTGTTTGATCATTCAAGGGTGCAAAATAGACTGTATATGCACAGTGCATTCCTACACTCTAACCCCACCACGGTAAATGATACTTTGATCGAATGGATTATGTCTGTCACATGTAAAATCGAATGGATATGTGTTAGACAGATGATCATCTATGGGAGTATTGTTCCTTTGGCTGTTAACTGAAACACTCATGTACGTGCATGAGTCGCTTTCTTCAACACAGTCACTTCCTGTTGGTAATGAATCTATGGCAACCAGCTTAGTAACTGGAAACACTAGCAACAAACGACTTTTCACATCAAACAGGCAAAAGGGCAGGATTTCTGAAGTCAGGCCAAGTGTGGGATGACAAGATTGGGCACTCTCAATATCTGGTAAGTTCAATATATTCAGTTTCCAGAACCACTGTATCGAAGTAATTGAAGCTGTTCAGTAAACATAATATAATTTTATACAAGTCACCTTTGTCTTTGCTCTCCTCTGCCCATGCTATATCTGTTCTGTGGATAAGAAGGGACTTTGCTTTTCAAGGCTGTCTGGCCAATATCTTTCCCAAGCACTAAATTCACTGCAAACAAAATTTTAAATGTTAAATTAAAAATAAAATTAATTTGAAAATCAACACAAAGTCTAACTTTACATTAATTATTTCATTAAGCTTTGTGTGTAAGAATCAGTATGCTTGTAAAGTAATCAATATCCTTGACATTATTTGCTCATTTGCAGACACAAGTTTTGCAGAGATTATTACAATAATTGTTGCAATCTGTGATCATGTTGCAATTTATGATCCTGTTGGGTGTTTATGTAAAACCCTGGTTTGTTAAATAAGAATTTTCTGAAATCTGACCATATTTATCAAAAGAGTAGCCAGATGATAGTCTTTTATTCCAGAGAAGATGAGAGAGTAAAATCCACAGGTAACATTTTTCAAATGTAGCTAAATACCATAGGAGCCTAAATTCCATTTGCAAATGTAGTTTAGGAGCATAGTCCCATTGACTTTCAGTTTGAAAAATTGACCCTATGTATAAATATTTTAAAGTAATACAAAAAATCTAGTTAGAATAGAAGTGTCCTGCTAAATCTTGCCCAGGTGACAAGGTAGCTATTGCATTGTAAATCTTAACATGAGAGCCACAGAATAGTTATCTTTCTCTTCACTTGTCAAATGTGAGCATGATTGCCTTCTCTTCCTAAAAGCATAACCTGTCATCATAAAACATGACAGAACAGCTGCAAGATCAAATTATTTCCCCTTAAATTCATCACTATAGCACGAGTATCAGGCAACATTAATCTAGTGCTACATTCAAAAGCTGTCTTCGAGCTCATTCGGCTATATCGGCTCCAGCTGTGATTTTTGTCATAGCTCGTAAAATATGTAGGATTGGGATGGGACAGGATGCAGATGGGAATCATTTTAGGAAGAATGAAGGTGCAGCAGGTGATGCTGTTGATTCCCTAGGTTGCATAACCATGAGTCTCTCCGTGGCGTTCGAGGGCACTGTCCTATGGAGGACTTGATTTAAAACAGAAAATTCCCGAAGACTTTTCTAGTTTATTTAATGTTGCTAAGGTGCCAATCACCTTATGTAAAAGTCTGATTCAAAGTCTGTTGAAGTGAGTGGAAAGGCTCTTATTGACATCAGTGGGTTGTGGATAGTATAGGGGTGTTAACCACACTGACTTCTGGCCAAATTCAAGTCTGGTGAATTACATTCCACCCACCTAAATCCCTCCTGTAATTTCAACTGAATACCTTAATCTTCAGGTCCTGTTGCTCTGTACTGCTAAACAGTTGTTATATTTCACACCAGAAGTGGCTGCATTTCAGTGGTAGGCAAAGTTTTGATTCATTTTCTTATGTAAAACTCCATTAATAAATGTTTTAAAGTCCTTTGGGATCCACTAGAAAATGTAAGTTGTCATTATCATCATTTAACTTGTATATTTGCTTAAAACCTGGTATGCTGTGTTTGTTCATCTCAAACACCAAATTATCACAATTCCATTTTGTAGGTAACTGCTTATGAGGGAATGGAGAATCCAGGGAGATCCTTGTTTACAGAGCACAAGTACTGCAGAGCAATGACAGCACTAGATAAACTCTCATGCAGCAACTTCCTAACTAATATCGATCCCTTCTCTAGTGGCTCTTTCATAGTCCATCCTACTTGGGTTACCAGACCTTTCATCCCCCAAAGGTAACAAAAAGTTCTTGCTTGTGTCTGTCATTTGCTTTGCAACACTGTTGATTGAAAACAAGCTATGAAGTAAGCCCACCTACTAAAGAAATGCTCTCTGAGACAGGCCTATTGGTGCCAACTGTTCTTTACGAACAACTCCTTTCTCAGATTTGACAAACTCACTACACTTAATACATCCCTTTCATGGTATTTTTCCATGAAAGGTAGCATGTAAGGTCTCTACTGAAAGCTTGTAACTTATCAATACTCATCATCATCGTTAGATGTGTGTACAGGTAATATTTAAGGAATAATTTAACAATATTGAAAACTGTTGTATGGTCTTAAAGTTAGTCACCAGGGAATTGTATAACAGGGTAATAGTCCACTCGAGTGGGAGGGAGTTGTCATCCCTCCCTGGTAGGCTGGTGATGTAATACAAGGTTCAATTGTCTAACCATGCCCTATTCTAGAACAGTCATTGGAAAACCATCAAAGCCAACTGCAAACAATCAAAACCACTTGGAGGTAAAAAGAACCATTACAACAGACAGGGGATTGCCCTCTCTGTGAATAAAGACGAAAGACTGATTCAGTATAACACAGGATGGAAAAAGACTCCTTGTATCCATTCATTGAGGAGACATGTTGTTGAATGGGGGGCAGGTTTAATGAAAATTGGATCCTGGTTCCTGTGATGCCAGCCAGAGACTGAACTGTGTGGGAGGGAGGGAACCTACTTTATTAGCTAGGAAAAGTATCTATTAATAAAGTGTAGGCCCTAGTTTGCATTTTATGATTTGTTTTATATTGTAACTAGATGTTTCCATCACTGTCTCTTGTTTCTAGTGGAGTCTCTCTTCTTTTGTTTTATCATAAGTGCAGTACATTATACAGAAGTGGTGATTTAGGGTAAAAGTGGTAAACTGGAGCACACTGCTCCTTTGAGGGCAAGGGAGCTGGGATTTCTGAGAGTAGCCAGTACAGGGTCTGGATATCACAGGGGAATGCTTCAAGGGGACTCGGGACACCTCTTGTTAACCTGATCTTAAGGGCAATTAGAGGCTAGTTTCACTTCCAGCATAAGTTAGAGCAACTACTGCTGTAGGTTATACCAAACCAGGATCACAGTGTGATCCTACCACAACCACCAAACACCCTCCCCCACAGTGGTGTGAGGCTGAGAGGAACTGCCGGAGTCAGTTATGCTGGAGTTATGCAAGCAAAGGATTCTTCTACACGGCCAAATCCTCAGCCAGCTCCTTCTGCCTGCTTTGCACCATAGGAGTGGAACAAAACAGGTCCACTAGAGCCCTGGATCTGGCCCTTGAAGGTTAATAGAGTGTCTTAATTTGACTCATGGAAGCTGTTTGCTCTCACCACTAACCCATTTTCTTTTTATTCAAGGTACTCATGGATCGGCCACTGTCCCCATTTCCCTGACACCGCATATAAGCATATGAAGGTGTGGGAAAAATCAGTGGACATTGCTCATGTTCCTGTTCTAGCAAGAAGGGAATCTGATGGGTTTTATTATCTTGGTACAATAAAACAGGAAATAGAGGCAAGTAATTATTGGCTCACCTATCTTGTGTAGATATTCTTAATTTACTGTGTGCCTCCATTACAGTAAGATCTGTTCATTGTTGAAAGTCACCTGGATCACACAGTGGACTCCTCCAGAAGAGAGTCACAAAGGGTCAAATTCATGGATTGCAGAATGCCCCCCAGTAGCACCTCTCCACCACTTGAACCCCTGCTGTGGGTGGAACTGGGTTGAGGGGGGTGGGGGTGCAAAGGCAGATCAGCTTTGCAGCGGGGTCTGTGCATCATACAGGGTTTCTGTCAGTTCTGATATAGGCTGTTGCATGAAGTCAGGAGGCAAGTCACAAACAGAGCATCTGCATTTGTGATTATACCGTTCCAGTGGATTAAAGACCATGTATAGGGACAGTAGTGTCCAGTGGTCCTGCCCATCCTACTGTACCTATTGATTAATGGCATACCGTATGAGTTTGCTCGGGATAACAAAGGTATGGGCTGAGATGACACCTGTATGCAGCCTCTATGCCTCCTTTGCTGTGCCTTCTCTTCCTGATGTCAGACTTTCTGGCAGCTATTCTAGTCTGCATGAGGGACTATTGGCTTGTGGAAAGTCGGGGCATGCCCCTTGTTCAGAAAACAAGGTAGCTGCTTGTGAGATAAGGACTACTAGCTTGATCTCTTTAGGGAAGCGCCCGTTGTAACACTTTGCCTTCCCATTCTTCCACCAGCGCTTATGTTTTTTTGGAACTTCGTTTTGCCCCAGTTGGACCCATCCTGCAAGGTTGCAAGAAGCCTTGGCTCCTGCTGCGAGTCAGGGCTCTCAGCACCTTGCAGGGACAGGCTCTTTGTTTCTGAGCCAGTCATGCTGGGCACTGAGCCACGTTTAGATGGATTTTGTGGTGTTATGGCCAGCGCCCCACCTACTGTTGTGAATAGACAGATAAACATCGATACTGCTGGAAAACTGTTAGTGTGTTATGTATACACTTATGGCTTTATTCCTCTGCAAACCAAGGCACAGCATGTCTTTTCAGAGACACTAGTGAATGCTTTAATTCATTAAGTTGTTAGTACTTAAAACTTTAAAGAAAAAAGGGACTATTCTTTTTGAAGAGCAGGGGAGTGGCTTGCTTCACTTGCTGATGCAAAGCTCCTTAACTGTTTTCTAAAAGAGAAAATGCCTGGTTACCCAGTATGTAATAGGAAAGGATTCATGAGTGAATAGAGAACAGCTCTGAACTGCCTTCAGATACTTTGTCACCATCTATGTACAGGGTAGCTTGTGAAATCGGCAGCATCACATGAATTACAGCTGGGCACGTAATCTCAGGCCTGTAGTGTCTTTTGCAGTGGAGAAAATACAGGTCTTAGTTGAAGTGGATATGGGGACGTATTTTACCGAGGCTGCTGAACACAAACATCCCCCTGTAGTTCTTTACAGTTCTCTAGATGAGAGACTAACACAGCATGGGCTGCTTACTGTCACCATTCCTGCTGTCCTAGAGTTCAGGCCTAGTCTAAGCTGCCATGGAAGGGACTGCTGACTGCAGTACGAGGCCTTATATTCTGTATTACATGCTGGGCTTCCTCATAATTATGTTTTATTCCTGGTAACAGGGCGAGAGAGGAACTTTCCTGGTAGAGTTCGACAAACCACCTGCATCAGGTGACAAGTACTCGGTATGTGTGCAAAAAACATCCAGGGATGACATCCTTGAATATGTCAATGGAATGAGGCACTCCATACTCCCTGGAGACAAAGTGCTGGCACCCTGGGAACCAGATCTGGTCAGATACGGCCCTGGAACCATCCTACTGGGCATTGAAACACGGGATTCCCTGAGAGGTAAGAAGGGATCCCCTGAAGTGGTAAGAATGAACACTATTTTTGGTATTGCTACTGTAGCAGAAGCATCAGTGCAACTTGCAATGTTTATTTTAAAAATGTATACAGGTTGCAAAGGATGTAGTGGGAACTAGTAACTGATTCCTAGAAAGTGCTCCTTAGCAATACCTTGAGTGTGAGAGTTAACTTCTAGATTGATCTACCTTTTATTAAGAAAACTGACTTTTTAAATTTGCACCTTCGCTATCCACTACGTCTAGTCTTTGAGCAGTTATTCAATTTAACTTCCTACTGAAACAAGGGCACCAGCTGTGGGGGTAAGGATAACATGTTCATTTCCTGAGACTTGATGCACAGGGAAGCCCTGTTTTCAAATAGGGTAGTGTTAAGAATATGGCTTATATTAGAATGCTCAGATCAGCACTGGGTTATTTATGCAGTGTATTAAATTGCTAAGACAAGTTAAGATGCTAGTATTTCCCAACCAGAGTGGTACTGTCTAATGGTATCTTACCTTTTTCTTTTCAATAGCTTCAGAGGATGAAGAAATCCTGGTCTATTTTTGGAATGACAAGAAAGTGAAAGTACCACTAGGTGTGGCCTTATGGATTCCACCAGACACGTGGGAAAGGATAGTAGAGATGATTCACATGCCCTTCACCAGCAGATTAAAGTTTATGAACTCCCCCACCACCACTAGCTCTTACACTTCTACTTGCAGATGTCTAAGAGCCCCCATCCATTCATGTGCTTTAGATGATGGGCTGAGTAAGTACAGGTGGCCGTGGCCATGCCCATTAACCTGCCCCCCTTTCCATGGTCACTGTCACAGTATATGCTGTTCACCAGTCCATGTGGGATGCATCTGCTGCTCCCATCCCAAATTCAATGCCTGGTGGCCTCTACTATCCACATCTTTGCTCCCTCAAAGAAGCACTAAACAGCAAGAGTCCAATAACAAGCCTACTGCACAACTTCTAGAATTGGAAAGTCCAAAGGAAAATGAACCAGCAGCAGCTACTGCTTCTGCTTCTTCCTCCTCCTCATCCTCTGATTTAGAAAGTGAGGAGGAGACGTGCCTAACGAAGAGCACGGTAGTGGATAGTGCTGTTAATACAGATTCCAGCCTTTTCAAAAAACCCAAACTGAAAGATGCTGCAAGACCTGAGTGGAAGTATTGGAAGAGAAGCCACGCCAAGTCACATCCTAGGAATCCAGGTATAGTTCATCTCTTTCCTTGGTTACTTGTCAACAGGTGCTTCTTCACTTAAAGCATTCTATGAGCCTCTTCAGTCTGGCACTGTATCTCACTTGAATGCAGGCCTATATCTCTGCTAGCAGTGACACAGATGTACTTGTAAATGTCTAACTTACCTTATTTCAACATTGGTAGACAAACTGTGTGTATGATGCAGAGAAAGCAGAAAACACATCTGACAATCAATATACCATTAATCCTTTAACTACTACCTAGAATTTAAAATAGATTAAATAAATTCATAAATCTGAAATTCATAAAAATGTTATTTTGTAACCCCACTCCCCTTTTTAAAAAGCAAAGCAAAACTTTGTATTGGGGCCTAAACCAGGCAGCAGTTAAAAATCCCTCTAATTAATTTATATAAATGCAAAATCTGCACCAAGTTTTGCCCTCTTCATCACATGCAAGGGTTCCTCTTTCCATACTTTATCCAGTGGAAAACCATGCAAAAATGGAATCATTCAGGAACACACACACACACACACACACACACACACCCCTCTAAATTCCTGATCTTCCCCCCAATCCTGCCACATTTTTCATGGTGCCATCCACACAATTGACTTTTACTTTAGGAACGGATATCCAGAACCAGAAATCATGCACCTACAAGAGTTCCTTTTAGGTTAAATTGCACTTTCCTTTTCAAATGACTACCATTTTTAATCTTTAATGTAAATGTAAGATTATGCACATTAAATACAGTATCTATATCCCCAGGAATCAGCATTCCCAGCAGCAAGTGTACAAAGGGGAAAGCAGAATCCAGAACCACTTTCTCCTTGGACATGTACCCTATTGCACCAACCAACCAGAGTGCAATGTTTGAAACTATTGAACAGTCTCCGAGAAGACATCTCACACTGAAAGATGTCTTAATCCACCATGATTTCAAGCCATCACTGGAGGTAAGTAATCTATGGTGAAACAGTATTATAATTAGGTACTTTGGTTCTTTAAATTGAAGATGTTGTTCTGGATATCAGCTGAAGAAGCAAATGGCCCTGAAGTTCCCTGTTGCCTGCTAAACATCTCCTCCCCCTCCCAAGCCCCATATCTGTGTTGGGGAGAGAGCTCCTCTTCCAATTCAAGACACAGCTGGGCAGGATCTGAAGCCATCTTACACAGTTCAAAAAACTAAAACTTGGCATGTAACTAGATGGTGATTCAGTGGAGGTTGTAACCTTGGAGACTGATCCAACGCCCACTGAAGTCATGGGAGCTGGATTAGGGCCTTAGGAAGGTAAGAAACTCCTATAGGATGCTTGATCCTGGGAATGGATGGCTCTGAAATTCAGGAGTAATAGAATCCAAGCAAGGACTCTCCTCCCTTCTACTTCTCCTAATGCAGCTCTGCACCAGGCTCACTCTATGGAGGGCATTTTATACTGCCCCAAAGCCTGATGCTTGTGGGTATTTTTCTAGAAATCAGTCCCTAGATCAGCTTCTGAAAGAATTTCTCCTCCCTCCCCCCTCAAAATAGCAGACAATTTAGAGAGAATACTGCTCTAAAGTTCTGCTAGAGGATACAAAATGCATAAACTGAGTCAGAGGAAAGAGGACTAAAGTCCTAGTTTTCATGCTTCATTTTTCCCAGCCACAGGCCCCTCCTTTTTTAGAGAAACTTGGAGAAAATCAAATAGAACGTGAACGCCAGAGAAAAGCCTGCATGGAGCAAAAAAGGAAGAAAAAATTCCAACAACAGAAGTGGGAGTGTGAAAGAGAACAGCAGGCTGAAGAGAAGTACTACACTGCACAGGAACACCGGAGGTACATCACACAGGTCAAGTATTAGCTACTCTGCATCTTCCCTCTTGGACTTTGACTACAGAGTAAAGTATTGTGCACACTAAACTTAAATGATTTTGGTTTTCAAAGGACAAAGCTCTTTCTACTGGTATGTATTCCTTAGAACTGAAACATCTTGGAATATCTGTTCTACACACACTAGTGTTTTAATTCCCAGTGAAGAACTCCTAATAGAAAACATGCAGAGTAATTTCAGCTATTTGAGCAGAATGAGTGTCTAGTTTAAATTAGCAATAAATGTCCACATTGTGCTCTGTTGTAACTGATTTATACCTTTTTTAGGAAACCGCTGTTCGTAAACTTTTTTGAAACAAGTACAAAACTTCAGGCATACAGTACATTAATGGTTAGGTCATGTCAGATACCTGTTTCTACCAATTTTGGAATAAGTGACTAAGAAGTCATATCCCGCTGGACAGGGCTTGAACACAAACCCTTAGGTCACACACAATTTTTACTAAAGTCAATAGCTTTGGATGTGGGAGGACTGCAGCGTTAGGCCCTGTATGTTTCTAAAGACTATAAAGAAACTAAATGAAGAGACTGAGTTGCAGCTGTAGCGGGCCATCCTGTTCCCTGTAGTACTGGTGGCAGTAACAGAAGGGACGTTCCTTCTCTGACTGATTAAAGATTTAAAGGGTTGACTCAATAGGACATTCCCCAAAAGACACAGGCCCAATTTAATGTCCAACTAATGTTGTGAGACCAAATTACAATGTGACTGTCCCTAAACACAGTTAAAGCACAGTTCTATCTTGTACTCTAGATGAAGCCTTAAACTACTTGACCATATCCTTTATAAACATACAACTGTAAGAGCCAACTAAAACTTCAGGGTGGGTTTTCAAAAGTACTCAGCTTTGGCCTAACTTTGCTCCCACGGACATGAATAATGAAAGTCCCACTGAGTGCTTCTGAAACTCTATCCTAAGGTTTATTATTTTAAAACATTTATATTCCATTGAAGAGTTTATACACATGTAAAACTGCTTCCACTGGGAAAGCTACACCAGGTAAGTCTATTTATTTTGAGGATAGGAGAAGAGCAGACAAAAACACTGATTCTTTTCAGAACAATGCTTAACTCACTGGGGTTTTTCTTCTCCAGGAACAAGAAGCTGCAGCATTTTGAGAATGAAGATAAGAAGGTAAAAGAACAAGACAGAAAGCAGAATCAGACAATGAAAACAAAGCAAGTTACACAGCAGAGGACAAACCTGAAGATGCAGACTATGGCAGAGGAGGACAGGCAGAAAGGACAGCAAAGACTAGCTCATCTGCAACAAGTCAGAGAGACACATGATCAGAGGGAATTTAATAAGTGTATAGCTGAAGAAATTAAAGAGAAACAATCTCAGGTAAACTACCCATCTATATAGGGTTATTTTTATACAGGGAATAAAGTGTGCTCTAATGACCTTCGCCTCTCCTTTAAATAAACAAAATCTGTAGGTAGCCAGAATAGCTTTATGGATAGTAGGACCACCTTAACCAATTGAAATAAATTCCATTTAGATGGAAATGAGGCAAGTACCTTCACTCTCCTGTCCAGGGGAAGTGTGTCTTTCCATATTAAGTTCCCACTGTGCTGGACTAGAAGCCAACACTCTTGGGGAGAGAGGAACAACAAGTAATAGTACAGAAAACCTGAAAAATTGGAAACAGAGAGCTTTAATAAGCCTCTTGTTTGTTCTCATGGTTTCAAAAAGTCTGTGGCAGGGATTTCAGCATGATGGTTTCTCTCTTGTAGGAAGCCCGAAGGAGAAGAGTGGAAACCAAGTACAAGTTAATGGCAGAAAAGATCTTTCAAGATGAAAAACAGAAGGGACAGTAACCAGACAGCACAGAACAAAGGAGATACAAACAACAAATATTTATGTAGAATCCCAACCCCTGTTATGGCTACCATATTTAAAGCTTCCCCCAAATAAAGTCTATTGGAACCTTATTAGAGTAAGCTAAGTAAAAGTTTGCATATGCATACTAAAACACATGACACCCATTTTATTCATAGGTGCCCATTCAGCAAGCTACCTGAAGCCCATGAGAAGTCCCACTGACTTCAGTGGGATTACTCATATTCTTAAATTAGGCACATGTTGAAATGCCTTGCTGAATCAGGGCCTTTAACTCCCACTTCAGTTCATTATCTTTATCAGGTGTGTACGTGTTTTGCTCAAGTGGGATTTAGCTTAATGAAAGTGAAAACTAACAGTACTGTCGAAACTTACATTTATGTAGCAATAATTGGGCTTAATTTTTTTTTAACTGCAACCATGTGCACGTTTGTTTGCATTACAGCTCCAGTTTCTTCATTCATACCAGTATGACCAGTTATCAATTACAGTATTCTACATGTAACACTGTAGCCCAGGGGTAGGCAACCTATGTCACGTGCCGAAGGCGGCACGCAAGCTGATTTTCAGTGGCACTCACACCGCCCGGGTCCTGGCCACCTGTCCAGGGGCTCTGCATTTTAATTTAATTTTAAATGAAGCTTCTTAAACATTTTAAAAACCTTATTTACTTTACATACCACAATAGTCTAGTTATATATTATAGACTTAAAGAGACTTTCTAAAAACATTAAATGTATTACTGGCACGCAAAACCTTAAATTAAAGTGAATAAATGAAGACTCGGCACACCACTTCTGAAAGGTTGCCGACCCCTGCTGTAGCCAGATCCTCAGCTGCTGTAAATTGGCATGAATTTCAATGGAGTTACATTTATTTACAGCAGTTGAGGATCCGGCTTTTTACATTCAAGCAATTATAAATATAACTTGCATGACTTTAGTTCCCAATAAAAAAAATGTAAAAAATAATTCTCATCTCAAAGATTAATTTTTATCCTTTATTCCACTGATTGCTTGACTTAAAAATAACCCCAAACTCTGGGTGATATGTCACATAATTAAAATTAAGGCATATTAATACAAACATTCATAATGTCCATGTACACAATGGCCTATAATAGCACTGAGTGTACAATAAGTAGACAAAGTGAGTAAAATAGAAGAGGCCCAGAGAAAGGAAGTTGTTAAAGTGCTAAAGAGAAACAGATATGCATAGCTTGTTATATTAATTCATTAGGAGACCATAGTATTGTTTTATTCCTTTGATTGCTGAGAGAGAGTGATCATCATATACTGAAAGTTAAATTAATACTTTGTCCTGCATTAACATCCACCATATGTGTCTGTTTCACCATATCGTCTGAGGTTGCTGTGACAGAATAGGTGCCAGGGGAAACTTCAATGTAGAGATCTTTGGAAGCCTTTCTAGCCTGAAAGGGGAAAAAATAAACAGTAAGTAATGCTGTTTGGTTGTCTTACCTAGACAGAAATGGAATTTTTTAGTTTATATAGTTACATTTCAACTGATATTGACATACTAACATTTTTCAAAATGTACTGGCAGGACGGACATTAGTGGTAGCAAAATTTTTCTGTCCAATACAAAAATTAGCAAGCTGTGATTGTAAAAAATTGCCATATTCAAATCCTTTCATTTTTTTTTACATATACTTAGGTAGAAATAATGTGCTAATTAGCTATCCTCTAACACTGGGAAAAATAGAGTTGTCAAAATAAATATAACTTAAATATGGGTAATAATACAACTTTAGTAGAAAAAAAATCTTGTTTGGGGTTCTGATAAAGATTCCATATTTCTCAATTTATGTGACCCAGAAGCCATAGCAACTGGTTCCTAAAACTGCTTCAGCAAATTAGCCTTTGGAAAATTTAAAGTATTTCTCTTCTTCCCACTGACCATTAAGCCTACTGTGTCAGAATTATACCTCTCCACCACGTTAGCGCAATGACTGACACCCACAACCAAAATTAACTTTCCACGGTTGCAGCAGATAGTGTGTTCAGTAGTTAACATCTTTAAAGAGAATTCTGAAACACCATGTGACCTCCTCCCACAGTGGAATTTTCTAGGCCAGATCCTTGGCTGCGATATGGTCCCTTTGCATCACTCAAGCGGCACAGCTGGCTCAAAGTTATACCTGCCTGGCTTTGCTCCAGTACAGGAAAGGTGCCAGAAGTACACCAAGGTATGTCTGAAGGACTGCTGGTGTAAGTTAGAGAATGCCTAAAAGAATTTAATCATCCACTTACAATTCCTCACAAATTTTGCATCCATCCAAAATCCAAACATGGATCACCTTCAATAGGCATGTGCCAAAATTTCACAATCTGGCTTCCATTTTGTATGTGCACAAACACCTGTGTGTGTGTGTTCATTCTAGCACTCAGACCTATATGCAGTGGTGACAGATTTTGCACATGTACATTCTATCATCTGTGATGGCAGGTAATAGGCAAAACATTTTTTTGCATTATCCTTGAAACTTTTCACTTGACTATAAATAGAAGGAGCTAGAATTTTCATTCATTGATTAGATTAAGTAACTCCAAATACTAACAAGTTGTTTGGGGGTTTCAGCTGGATTTGACACTGGAGAGGTTTCATTTTTCTGGAAAAGAAGAGGAAAGATGCTAGTCATTAAATTCCTTAACCTGTCAATTCTGGATTCTATTTAGTGTCCCACTTTGGGGTCTCTTTCATCGTCCGTTAGTGTTTAGTTTATGCCCTGAAGCATTTTTCCAAATAAGTATCTTGCTATACTGGGTCAGAAAGAGTGCAGGGGAATTTTGATATAATTGGATTTAAAAATAAATAAATCATGGAAACATTAAGTTTTGCAAAACCTAAATTTGGCTAAACCTGTATTTTGGTCCAAAATGTACCTGGTGAAGTCCCTGTAAGCAGCAAATACTTGCCTTTCCAATAAAGGAGGGCACAAGAAAGATGGAGTACTGTATTTTCTGGCGTATAAGACTACTTTTTAACCCAGGAAAATCTTCTCAAAAGTCGGGGGTCGTCTTATACGCCGGGTGTCGTCTTATAGGGCGGGTGCTGAAACTTCCGAGCCGGACTGGAGAATCTGCGGTCGCCGCATATGGTGGGGGGAGCTCAAAAACGGCCGCGGCCGCATCCCCGCCCAATGACGAGGTGAGGGGGCGCCTCACCGGGAAGGTGTAAGTGAAGGGTGGAGCAAGCTGCAGGCGTCCGGGACGCCCGGGGTATGGAAAAAAGAGAGAGAGCGGTGCTGTGCCCAGAAAAACAAGCCCCCCACAGTGATATGTAGAATCTTCCCACAATTTTTTGGATCCAGTTCCTCACCGAGTGA